TTTTCCATGAATGAGAAGCGAGCTCCAAAGTTCGTCGAAATAATCATTGTTATCTGAATTTGTCCCCCCTAAATTATATATAATAATAATATCCTCTAGTCTATAAAGAATATATTTTAAAGTTTTCCGCAAATAAATGAATGTTCTTCGGAACATGACTCAAAGCTCCAAGTTGTTATCGAACCCTTGTCTTTTCTCAAGTACGCGCAGTCACTACCAGGGTCCTGAGTTTGTACTGCAGACGTGTATGTCAGCGGTTTATTGTCAGACCACTGTAGGGTACCTTCCTTGTCGATATCATTCAATCCAATCCATGCTCCGAAATACCGACCATCTGAAATACAAATTTCTGAAATAATTCAACAATTCAACAATTTTAATTTACCTTATCGCCATCCAGAACTTTTCGTCATCGATCTTCTTCTCATTTCAGAGAACTAAGTATTTTCTGAGAGACTGATTTCAAGTGATAGTTAGTGAAAAGAAAGCTATGCAATCTATTTCCTGTACAGCTATTTCAGAAAACGATGAATAATAAACGCTGCATAGTGCACTCTAAGACCGCAATATGTATTTTGCAATTTTACTTGCCTTTATCTGCGTTATAAAATGACAAGTCTAATTTTCTTTCGGCTTAACAGCGAAGTTCTTAACTGTTCTTACTCTAACTCGAATACTCGTTCACTGAAAGTGAAGTAACCTTCAAGGTGTATTTCGCCAAGAGACTTGCAATAGGAGCTTGCATTACTCCAAGGCATTTTTTTGTAATAAATCTTGAACTTTGACGAATTGAATTGAAACCAACCATCTTCTAGAGCTAAACAGAATGCATTTCAATGAAAATACCCTCGGGCAAAAGAGAGTCCCGAGAAATAGAAATGAAAAAAACATAGAAAAGTGCAACAGAGGCAGTAAGCTCTCTTCAGTTATATTGTAGTACAAACCTTCCTTTTTTGCGCACAATTCGCCTTCACAATGCAGAAAAGTCTGTATAAAAATGAGAAACAGTGTAGTAAGGAATAGCACAATATTTATCAGGAGGATTTTTTCTTTTTTTGGAGGGGGGGGGATTCTGAGAATCCAGAGGGGTTGGGGGCAATACCTAATTTTGTGTAGTTAAAGAGGGGGAAACGTATTAAATTAACTAGATCTTTAATTGGAAAATGAAGAATCATGGGTGTCAGATTCGAAAACTTCTCGAGATCGTGCTATGATTAGCAACAATTCTTTATTCAGGAACAACAAATAAATAGGGGGATGGCAGAGCGGAATTTATTTCGTTTCCGAGGGGGTAGTAATTACTTTTTTTAATTGTCTGGCTCATTTCTTACACCACCCCCTGTAAATATTGCGCAGTCCCCAATAGGTTTTTAAAACTGTTTAGAGTTAGGTCAGTCTAATTCTTTTGTGAAAATTTAACTCTTAGGGCTCATTAGTCTCAGCCAGTAACATTTTTTACCTCTGGTTCAGCATATTCATAGCCTTCTCTTCTCACAAACGAGTCTTTGCTTTGTTTCTTGTTTGACCAATTCAACTCGCAATTATACGTACCATTGTGAAAATTAATGTAGTTCACTGAGAAACACCTTAGCGTTTCCTGGCAAGCTACCAGGCAGTCGGTAATGAACAAAGGCAGGGTCTTTATCACGTGACCAATTAGGGCATAGTCGTGGTCACGATGGAATGTCGATGTCGAGGTCCAAATGTCGTCAAGGTTAATGAGGTCACAGTTGACGAGTGTGAGGGTTACAATCGGTAAGGCGGTGAAGATTATCGGCAATATCATCGCTGAAAGAAGCTGCGAAAGAGATCACAATGGCTCTGAAGATTTGCTCTGAGGTTGATTATGTTTTTTAACGTCGAACCTAACGTCGAATCTCATGATCATCTCGATTTCATAGTATAAATAGGAGGGTACCTTCGCACATAAATCGTCAATCATTCATGACAACACTAAATCATTTTTTTTAAGTTTTAGAGTCATTGGGTCCTAATCTAGTTGAACGATTGTGTAAGAAGATAGATTAAACACCGTAAAAAGTAGGTGAAGTAACTTTCTGACGTTTCGGACGTTAATCCTTCGTCGATCGGAGTAAAAGTGATGAAACTAGGTAAAAAGTGAGTTTAATCGTATGAGGAAGTAGCTGATCCCAGTAAAGGGTGAGTTTATATAGTAAGAGTAAGAAAGAAAATAGACCAATAGGAGCAAAGTAGGCATGGTGACGAGAAATAAACAAAAAAGCAAAGGAAGTGTTAGACAAAAGGACAATAAAGGTGCTAAAGGGAACAAAGGATAAACAACTTATCTGAAAACAAAGCGTTCATTCAATCCTTGGGGGTTATAAGTGAACAATAGGTGAATAAGCCGCATTTCTTTGGTTTTGCGACAATCATTATTGCCGCTAATCAAAGACAAACCAAAAACAAAAAATTTAGAAAGTGAATGGTTAGGTAGGTTAAAGTGGCGGGAAACAGGCTTATCAAGATCGTTAGGGCGAATACTACAAAGATGTCTTCACGGATACGATCGCCCAGACGACGGCCAGTCTCGCCGACWTACAATAAATTACAAAGCGAACATTTTTAAATGTTCTTGTATTAAAATACAATAGATAATATTAGAGGTGGTACATTCAAAATGATCAATGATTCTGAGGGACTGATTATATGAAGCGGGCTGGCCCGGTTTGCCAAGATCATTATTTATTCATCCCGTCTCGCAATTATATTTTATCAGCGAGGTCGGAAATTAATTTTTCCGAATTTATTCCTAAGGGACTTCTCCCGGAATTGCCTCCTTCTAAGCACTATAACTTTCTTTCATTTCTATATCGTGTTTATCATAGTGCCATGCGGTCTTCATATTCATATTTTATCTGGCATCGTTTCCAGTTGTATGGCTACATTCGCATTTTCAATTTATATGAGACAGGATTAGCCGGGCTACCCAAGCTGAATCAATTAAGTTTTGCCGCGAAGGATTGTTAAAAAAAATTAAATCTCCACAAAATGGAGATAATAATTTGACCAGGATAAGGAAGTTTGTTCGCGAGTGTTAACACAATTTTGTATGATCTTTTCACTGCTTTTTCAGTATCATGGAATACTGCAACTTTATATGATTCAAAGAACGCGGTTAATCAACGTAATAGCTTCTGTACCAGCATCGCATCAACAAAATGCTAAGAAAGGCAAAATTACGACGAGTGACGTCCTTGCACTCATGTGCTGTACGCAAAACAGTTGACACACTTCTGGACAGCGGGTGCACTAAAGCAGGACAGCCCGCTTGACTTCCGATTATATGGGAAATTTTCAGCCCGGTCTGCCGGGATCACGGTTGTGGATTATCAAGATCTCGGCAAACCGGGCTGGCTCGCTTTCCATGTAATCGCACAACCGGAATCTAGTTTTGTATTTGAAGACAAACCGAGATCTCAGCAAACTGGGCCAGCCCGCCTCATATAATCAGGCCCTTAGGAACAACAATGGAAGTGTGCGAGACAATTTATGGACAAGTGTTACAACGCTTACGTGAGCAACGGAAAGTGTCAGGATCGTTATTAGAATGAAGAACACCTTTGACTAGGAAAGAACGAAGGTTACGATCACGTTTATTAGAGAAGAGGGGTCGGTCGTTAAAGATATGAGAAGTCATTAGTTTCTGAAGTGAGTAAGACGTAGTTACGATTAATAATAGGCTTAACAGAACTGTTAATAGGATGATACGTAAGAGTGAAAGGAATACGGTCATTAGGAGCACGAACCTTAGGTGTGAGAGCAGTGTTACGATCAATGAGAGAGACTTTACGCAGAGCTTGATCAACGACATGTGGAGGATAGTTACGATTAAGAAAAAAGGAACGCATCTCCATGCATTTGTTAGAAAAGNAAATAATATAAACAAAAATATATATATAATAAAAACAAGCATAAATCGAAAATCTTGATATTATGATATCGATTTTGAATGCATGTGGATTGGTTTCGGCACGAATGGGAGGATATTTCATAAAGCAACCCCTTCTATCAATAATCACCCTATTAAAGGCCAATATGGTGCTGATAAGGACTGCGAGGGGAGGATATTCCTAAAGCAATAACCCCTTCGAACAACAACCACTGTCTGTTAAAGCGAAGTACCCTTAGATTAWATTTTTCAATCCCAAATACCAAAAAGATGAGCATTGTCCGTCATCATGGGCATATTCAAACATTGCTTGTAATTTGGTAATTTAAAAACTAGTTGTCATAACTGAGAAACCGTCTARAAACCTTTTTATAGGAAACCTTTAAAATTAATTGATAGCGAGGCTCTTATAGTCGCCAGTAAGTTTTGTTGATTTTTTTAGATTTCTGCTTCATAAAAACTTTTGGACATCAACATATAAGTTCCGAATTACAGTTGAGCCAAAGAAACTTTCAGAATTAATTGATAGCCATTGAAACTTTTTCACAAGCTATAGATGTTTAGCCTATTTGTTTTAAGCTTTAAGCCAGTTTGCACTTTAGTTGTTTTAGGAAATTTAAAAGAATCAAATCTAGAATCGCGCGAKTGAGGGTTTTTATTTTTATATTGCTGAAATGAATACAAATAGTACTTCAACAGCCTTCAGATAAAGGAGAAGTGCACTTTCTTAAAATCATATCATTAAACCTATAAAAAATGACTAGTTAAAGTGCATAGAGTTAGTCGTTACACTAAAAGTGTGCCACTCTCATTACATTTTACTTCTAGTTAAAATTATACATATCTAACGCTTTTGTGTAATATTTAAAATATGAGCGGGAGACCTTTATRTTCGAACGCGAATATTCTATATTACTTATCAAATTCCATCATAAGATAAAGCATATTTCGCAAAAAAACTTCAAGATAAAATATCGTTTCTAAGAAAATATAAGAGCACATTACACCAGTGCTCAAAGAACTATCATGGTTGCCAGTTACTGAAAAGTTAAAGTACTTCGTCGACTGTCTTGCTTTCAAATGTCTGAATGGACTAGCTCCTGAATATCTGAGCTCATGTTTTGCAACCATCAACAGTGCATAAACGCAACACAAGAAATAAAAACAAGTTAAATATTCCAGTGTTTAAAAGTGCATCTGGCCAGCAGACTTTCGCCTACAGGGCAGTAACACCATCTCCCATATGATGTAACATCTAGTACTGGCCTAAAGAACTTCAAAAACCGACTTTATGAATATCTTTCTAAAAAAYAGACTTTTCTTAACATTTGCAAGTAYATATGGCAATTATTGTATTTTAATATTTAATCTTACTAAATATACATTTGATGTAAATAGAGGCTGAAAAGCCATTCATGGAGTCCTTTATTAAGTTATTATAATGTTTTYAATGCTTAATTGAATGGTGCTAATTAAAATAAGTCAATGAAATGAATGTACAAGAAAATGTTTTACCTTATATTTTTGTGAACAAAATTAATTATTAGATGTTCAGAGTTTTTGGCAAATAAATGGATGCTCGTCAGAGCATGACTCTAGGTTCCATGTTAGAATCGATCCCTTG